CTTGTTCCCCTGTGAATTTTAGAATTGGGATCAATTTCTGCAAAGTCATCTGGTTAAGGCTTTGTTTACTGTAGATCGAGTTAGGGAGTCCTGCCAGTTAAACACAATGTCAAGTCTATAAGCATGGGGATTTGATTCCATTTCTATAGCTCTTTGTTTAAACATGTTTAATAGTTTTCCAAGTAAATCTTAATATAGATAAATGCACACACACACACACACACACACATTTTTAACCACTTGACAGGCAGTGGGACCTGGGAGAATGGAGCCAATAAATGGAATGCACTAAAGTCTCATGCAATAGTCAACTTTATTCAGAGCATCAGACAATTTATACTCTGAGGGTTAAGGAGGGTCACATGAGTAAAGTATCCAATCACAAAGACAAGCACCACATGGCAGACAAACCACACATGGCAGAACATGTTCTTCTTTAGAGGCATATAAACAAATAACAATAACCAGTTGTAGTGAGTAATCTGAAGAAAATTTATTCCTATTCTCTACACCTGGGAGGATCATGAAAGCACATTACAAGAACAACTCCTTGTTACAGGTATCTGGGTATACTGGCACATGCTTATAATTCCAGTACTTGGGAAGCTAAAGAGGACCATTACAGTAAGACTGAGGCCAGCCTTAGAAACCTAGTAAGATTAACAACAGAATTGGGTTTGTTGTTTATTTCTGGGTGGAAAGAGTATGAAATTTGAGGGAGGGTTGTGGGGGAGGATTTTGTCTTCTATTTTAAACATCAATTTATATGTTTAAAACCTTCATACAGTTTATTTTTCTTTGAAACCTTCATACAGTTTATTTTTATCATATGTCTTTCCCCTTTCTCCCAACTCCTCCCAGATAATCCTCTTCCCTACGCATTCAACTTCATGCTCTTTCTCTTAAAAAGTAAAAACAAAAAGTACAGAGTCCAATTTGTGTTGGCCAACTATTCCTGAACATGGAATCTGCTAGAATGTGGTTCACATACCCAGTATCATTGGTTAAAGAGAACTGATTTTTTTCTCTCCTAGGAGCTATCAATTGTGAATAGCTTCTTGGCTAGGAGTGGGACTTGGTGCCTACTTTCCTCTGTGCTACAATTGTGTCTGACTTGAACTAGTCTCTGAGTTCTATGTGCATCTGTCCTGTTGTGTCTTGAAATGCTGTTTCCTTGAAGTCATTCATCGCCTCTATTACAGTCTTCCCATCTCCTCTTCTGCATAAATCCCTGAGCTTTGAGGAGAGGGGGTTTTACAAATGATATAGTCCATTCCAGGCTAAGCACTCCAAAGTATTTCGCTTTGCACAGTATCAAGTTGTGACTATTTGTGTTAATTACCTTCTGGAGCAAGAAGGTGGTTTTCTGATGGTGATTGAGCAATACACTGAATTATGAGTATAGCAATGTGGAGTTTGAATGAGAATGCTCCTCACAGCTCATATATTTGAATGTTCGTTCCAGTAGGTGGAATATTTAGGAAAGATTAGGAGGTTTTAACATTTCAAACACCCATGCTAGGTCCAGTTTGTCTATCAGGTCCTGCCTGTCTGTCTGTCTCTGTCTCTGTCCCTCCCTCCCTCCCTCCCTCCCGCTGTTTGTTTATCCGTCTGCTATGTACATGTGGATTAGATGTACGCTCTCAGCTTGTGTCCTAGTACCATGCCTGCCTGCCTGCTGCCATGTTCTCTGCCATAATCGTCATGGACTTTAACTCTCAGGAACCTTGAATCCCCAGTTAAGAAGTATATAATTTGCTTTTTTATGTTACAAGGTGTTAGAATTAAGAACGTATCTTGAATATCAAAGGGTATTGGAGTTGGGACTTTGGACTTTTAAAGGATTATGGAGATGTGAAGTTGGACTGAGTCATTTTGCATTATGATATGTTCTCAAGCCTATGGCCACCAAAGAGTGGAATGTGGTGGTTTGAATGAGATTGTCCCCTCATATAGGCTCATATATTTGAATGTTTTGGTTTCAACTGTTTAGGAAAGATTAGGGAGTATGTCACTGAGGGTGGGCTTGGAGGTTTCAAAAGCCTATGCCAGGTCTAGTTCCAGTTTCTGAGCCTTTTGCTTGTGGGTCAGATGTAACCTCTCAGCTACCATGTATCTCTCATCTCTCAATGCCATGCCTTCTGCTACACTCCCCAGCATAATGGAAATAACTAAGTCTCTGAAAATACAAGCAAATGCCAATTAAATGCCTTTTTATGCATTACCTTGTTTGTGGTATCTCTTCACAGCAACAGAACAGTGACAAAGCAAACAGTATGTCATTAGGAGTTGTTTTATTGTGATATTCATTTACTAGACTGATGAGTCTTTACCCAAGGCCTCATTAACAGTATCAGTTATGGGTTCTATCTTTTGGAGTAGACCTTACATCCAATTTTTAAGAAGTGGTTGGTTACTCCCCTAACATTCATGATATTATTACACCAGTGAGTAGGCAGGTTGCTATTTCTGATAGCGGATCTCATAGCTGGGTGAGATTGATGATTACTTTTTTTTTCCTCCAGTAGTGTGTATAGAGCCTTCTATCACTATGACCATTAACCACTAGGAGTGAAGCTTCCAACTGGGCACCAGCTTGATTTCTTCATGTTTGATGATATAAGTATGTTGTGTCTTCAACAATAGGGCCTTAACCATCAGATTGTAGGGGTATCCAATAGCATTGCCAATGACCTTTAATGTTTGGTAGTGGGGATGGGGCAGCCTATGGGACCCTTTGGCCTACAACGCAAATCAAAGAGATATGACCCATTTTTGTTACTAGAGGTTTTCTTTGGTACTATACAATGACTAGTTGGGGTGTTTCCCCCCTCCATTATATGGTGAATCAATTTAAATTCCTTTTTTATATGTACATGCTTTAGGAAGCATCTATAGCAGGTCTTCATATGGCTTTCAAAAGCTGTTAATGTTAGTTGTCCCTCTGCATAGTCCCTCTCCCCTACCTTACCATCCCCACCCCACTTAATCCTCCTGTTCTAATTTGCTTTTACCCCTTTATAACTCTATATTTTATATCCCCTTCCTTGGAAGACACCCCACCACCACCTCTTGGTATTCTAAATGACATACACATATCTGAAGCATAAAAACAAACATCCCTATATAAAAGAAAATGGTGATATTTGTTTTGCTGGGTCTCAGTTACCTCCTGCAGGTTGATTGTTTCCAGCTCTTTCCATTTACCTAAAAATTCTATGCTATCATGTTTATCAGCTGATTTGTAAAATGTACCATTGTATAAATGTACCATATTTTCCTTTAAATTCATGTGTTGATGGACATCCAGGTTGCTTCCTGTTTCAGGCTATTAGGACTAGAGCTGCAGTGAATATGTATGAGCTAGTGTCTTTGTAGAAGGATGTAGAGTCCTTTGGGTATGTGCCCAACAGTGGTATAGCTGGATCTTGACATAGATTCAGCTTCTTGAGGCACTCCCACTTACAATAAATGCTCCCTTCCCCCACATCCTCACCAACATGTACTGTCCTTTGCTTTTTTTATTAATCTTGGACATTCTGAGTTGCACTAAGATGAAATCTGAAAATAATTCTGTATTTTCCTGATGTCTTTAAATGATTCTTAGTCATTAATATTTTATCTTTTCATAAATAGTTTTACATCCTATTTTAAATGATGATATCTCCTTGATGTTCCAGTATTTTGGAGTTTTGTTTTTACTTCTTTTATATTTTATTACTACCCCTCTTTCAGATGTATGATTGATAAGTTTTTTTTCTATTATGTAGGTTTGTCTCTTTGCTTAAATGATGGTGTCCTTTGTTGTACAGAAACTTTTTATTTTCATGAGGTCTCATTTATTGTTAGTCTGAAAGTCCTTTCCTGTGCTAATGAGTTCCATATTTTCTCTTTCATTAATTCAATATATCAAATCTTAGGTTGATATCGTTGATCTACCTGGAGTTAAATTTTGTGTAGAATGAGACATGAGGCTTGAGTTTCCTTCTTCTGTATGTAGCTATCCATCTGATCAGTACCATTTGTGGAGATGCTGTCTTTGATCCAATGTGCATGGTTGGCCTGTCGAGAATCAGGTTGCTGAAGGAGTGCAGGCTTTTATCTGAGTTTTTCATTCTTTTCTACTTATCAGTGTGTCCATTTTTATGCCAGTGCCATGTGGTTATTACTAGAGCTCTGTAGAAGTCAGGGATGGTGACATTTCCAGCACTGTTTTTATTGCTCAAATTGTTTTAGCTACCACAGGTCATCTTTATTTCCATATGCATCTTGAGATAATAATTTTCAACTTCTGTGAAGAATTGTATTTGGATTTTGATGGGAATTATATTTAATCTGGATGCTGCTTTTGGTAGGATGTCTATTTCACAGTATTAATCCTACTGACTCATGAGCTTGGGGGGTTATTCTATATTCTAGTGTCTTCCATTCCATAGATAGACATCTATTTATCTGTCTTAGAATAACTATATTTTGAATATATATATTTTTAAAAATATATATGTTATTTGTATACATGTATATATGTAAATTATGTATGTAGTATGAATGTATGTATGTAATCTGAGGCTGTTGTGAAAGGTATTCTTTGTCTTGTTTGTTTTTTTTCTCAATATGTCATTTGTATATAGGCAGGCTATAGATTTTAGTGTTAATTTTGTATTCTGTTACATTGCTAAAAGCTTACCAGCTGTAGAATTTTCCTGGTGTTTTTAAAGGCCTTTTATGTATCAAATCATATTATCTAACAGCAGTGTCTGTTGACAGAACTCATGAGAGACCATCTTCCTTTATGTAGGCAAATATTAGAGAATGGCCCTTGCTTCCAGGTCTGCAGTGTACTCAGTAGCACATTCTCCGTATGCTCAAGGTAATAGATGGAGCTGACGTCTGTTCTCATAAAAGTTTTAAGTACTGTTCTATACCAGTTTACTAGAATGTAAAACAGTAGTTAATAGCATGCTTTTAATGATTTTAAAATTATTAAATTTTCTGCCCAGGCACGGATGGGCAGAAGCCTTTGCAGATATCAAAAGTTCCCACATCAAATACATCTGTCCACATGCGTGAGTATTTCTAATAATTTTGGTTTTCTTTCTTCCTTCAGAATCTAAACAAAATTGTGATAGCTTTGCTTTTCCAGGAAAATATTTGAATATAGTTGTTTCCCTTTAAAATAAAAGATGAGTACCATTCCTTAAAACTAAAATATTCTCTTGGTTAAACTGGAGGCTTGCTTTTTTGAAATTTAAGATATTCTTCTAGAGGTGAAGTGAACTTAAACCCAGAACAATTCTTTTAGATATGTAAGTGCCTGTGAAGTTCCAGGGGTATCCAGCCAGGGTTATCTGTAAATAGGGTTTACTTGCTAGATTGGTGAGAAATCTTTATTAAATTGAAGACACTCAGCTTTTATTAATTAGAGGCAGTGTAATGTGCTGTTATAGATAGGGTTTTAGTACCTGGTTCTGAAATGTTTGCTGGTTCAGTAAGAAGCTAGCAAGTTTTGAGCAAACTCAGAAAATTGGCTAGTTTGAGGTGAAAGGTTACTAAGTGCAGCCATGGACTCTAGAATTGCCGGAACAATGCCGGTGAGCTTGTGCTCACTCCTGAGAAATGACAGCAGCACAACTGAGAAGAATATGCAGAGAGGAGTGAAACTTGAGGGCTTCCTTGCCCTCCAGCAGAGGCTCTGATATACCTCTGTAGGCTGCAGCTGAATGCTTTAGCAGCGTGGCTAGCCCAAACAAGGGACAGAATTCTTGACTATATTTGCCCCTAAATTGAATTGATTGCTCTAAGGCTGTTTCTTTCTTTCTTTTTTTTTTTTTTTTTCCACGAGGGGAAGTTTATTAAGAGAGAGGGAGAGCGAGAGGAGAGAGAGAGAGGCCGACCATGACCACGTGGAGAGAGGGGGAAGGGAAGGGGGAGAGGGGAGAGGGGACCACGAACCTGCAGGCTCGAGGTCAAGGGACCAAGAGAGAGAGAACAAGCTGTAAGGCTGTTTCTTAATCTGGGGAAGTTTGTTTTCATTTAATTGGTTTTGTTGTATGAATCAGGAGGACAGTGGCATTGGTAATTAAAAGTATATTCACGTTCCTTTCCTCTTGTACCAGGCTTTTTTGATAACTCAGCCTATTTTTCATTCCAGTCTTGAGTTGAACATAATGGTCACTTGGATAGAGCTTATATTTATTTATAAGTCTCTTAATCAAGCAGGCATATAGCTAAGGAATAAGCAAAATATAATCCAGGCATGTGTGAATTAATGGTACAGTAGCTAGGCAATAAAATGCTCTTACCAGAGTCTCAATTGTTTGTATTTCCTATTGTCTCAGTTCCTAGAAATTACAGGTATATAAGGCTGTTGAGACAAAAAGTGCTTGATATGAGCCAAGTTTATTCCTTGGCAGCGGTGCTCTGTTTTCAGAAAGTAGCTGCAGACAAAGGGAACAGAGCTGGGAAGGGGAAAGTGTGAACTGCATCCCATGTTAAAGTCAGCGTGAAACAAGGCTGTTAGCGTGATGTGCTGTCTGTTTTCTTTCCCAAATAGGCCTGTCATGCCAGTCACATTAAATATGAATATGGCTATGCCTTCTTGGTAAGTAAGAGTTTGTTTGCTCACTAAGGACCTGGTAGCCTTTGCAGGAGGGCTCTTGTGTGCATCCTTTTATTTAGATATTTTTAAACTATAAGAGAATGTTTAAGCTTAACCTTTACTCCAGTATTCATACTTTATTATCATGAGTTACCTTAAGAAAAGGGTAGAAAAGCCAATTTCTGGAAGTATTGAAGAGAAATCTATCCTACTGTTTGGTGTTTGTTGGGCTCATTTATCAAACATTTGATTTATGAGATGCACATTGATTACACCACGGCCTCTTTATTCTGCCAACTCGTCTTTCTGTCTGTCTGGTTGGACGTTAAGGTCATTGCACTTGTTCTCTCAAGGTGCCTATCTTGCCCTTCACAGCCGCAAAGCAGAGTTAGTGAGGCTCCTCTGTGCTATTTCTGGATTTCTTCCCACTGCTGAGACCCTAGATTTGTCAAACAGTAATCTTTGGATCTTGACACTTTGATTTTCAGTTGAGCTCCTCCTGTTTTGTTTTTTGGGTGCATTTCCAACTTGACTGGGTTGGTTTTCCTTTGCTTCTTCTCCAGGAATATTTTTCCTTCCCTCAGATTTAATTATGCAGTCATTTCTTTAGTGCTGTCAAGTGGAGCTGTTCCAACTCTGAAGTCATTTAATTCAGCCCTGACAAGTAAACGTAGTAGTTGGGCTGGTTTGCACTGTGTATTGTGAGACTTCACCAGGACCTGCAGCCCATGTCTTCTCGACTCTATGTTTCCTACTCACTCTGTACTCTTGCTTGGCTGCTTTGTTTCTTTAATTACTTGATATCCTTACGAGTCCCTACTCCCCTTGACTTTGGGTTCTTTCAGCTACTCTTTCTGGCAAGATTTCCATCTACAAACTAAAAGTTGTATCCATTGTTCCTGGAGACCATCATGTCAGCAGAGAAGCACAAAGGGCCAAAGGATGGCTTCCCTGACTTCTGACTTGAGGTGGCACTATAATGAAAAGTTATGGAGACTATGAACAGAGGTCATTATAAGTAGCTGTTGATAGTACATACAAGAATGACGTGCTCCACATAAATGTCCTGTTGCATTGACCTACACTAGAAGGAAATGACTAAAATTTACTACAGATTTTTTAGCCTTGTTAGCTGAAGTCCTTACTTGAAGTCCTTAAGTACTTTCTAGGTTGTTATGATGTTGCAAGTGTGGGACATTGACTTTTTAACATTAGAATTGTGTCCACTTGGAGTAAAAGGAACATACAGAATGTCATCTTCATATATTTCAGTTAATTGTACCCAGCACATTTTAAACTGAGCCTCATTTCTCCAGAGTGCTCTACTATTTGTACTTTCTCTATAGACTAACTGATGTCAGTAAACACATCTGCCAGGTTTGGGCTTTTAGAACCAAATAGTCCCTTTTCCTTGGCCTTCTTTTTTTCTGTTTTTTTTTTAAATATTTTTTTTATTGATTATTATGCTTGTATTCTAGGTTTGATATCATTGGACTTTCACCAGATTCCCAGGAGGATGAATCTGGAATTAAACAGGCGGCAGAAACTGGTGAGTACCAAAAGTGTTTTTATAAAGGCAAAAAATTCATAAGTATTTTAGTAGATCTGGTAATTAAATTTTGATTAAATGCTTGATTAAATGTGACCTAGTTATGTGTTTTCAGAAGCTAATCTCTCTGTCCCTTACCTTTATTTCCCATCTTCCCTCCTTTCCTATGCCATGCTGGGGACTAACCTAGGATCTCACAAATACTATCCAAGCATTCTACCATTGAACCATATCCCCCAGCCCACTGTCTCCATTCTGATTACTCTCTCCTTTGCTACCACTTCTACATCCTCTCTTCCCCTCCCTCCTTCCCTCTCTCCCTCCCTCCTTCCCTCTCCCCCATCACCTCCCCATTCCTCCCCACCCCCCATCTCTCTCTGGTTTTTCGGTGTAGCCCTGACTGTCATGAAACTCACTATGTAGATCAGGCTGCCCCCAGAACTCAGAAATCCACCTGCCCCTGCCTCCTCAGTGCAGAGACTAAAGGTGTGTGCCGCCACCACCACATATACTTTCGTTATCTATAGTCTCTGGTACTCATCAAACTTGAGCTCTGTTGTATAGAGACTTCGTTTTGATTGATGTAAGCAAAGCTGAACATGTTGGTACCCATCTATAATCCCAACTTGTGGAACACTGAGGCAAGAGAATTGTAAGAGATAGCCACATCTGTCTCTTTGAGACAGAGATTGCACAGCAAACTCTGTCTCAAACAAAAATACATAGGCAATGAAGAAAATAGTACTTAAATAGTTGTATGTAGTCATTAAAGAGACTTGAAGTAATGATGACATAAGAATGTAATATATAAAGATAGCAGTAAAAGTGACATTGATGGTTAATATTAGTGACGAAGTGATAGCACTGACTAGTCACGTAGCTTCTCACCAACTAGCCATGTCCTGTAACCTGGCTCACTTAACACTCCTGTGAAATTAGTAAGTACTCCAGTCTCCTTTATATGTGTTGTTTTGTGGGTGAGAGATGTAGTTCTTAAGAACTGCACAGAAGCAGCCTTTTCTTTTATTTAGATGCATGTGGGAGTTAGGAGCATCCTTGGTTTTTCATAAGGTGCAATGACCTGAAATGACTTAGAATACATGCTGACTTCTGTATGTGGGCCACATTAGAACCCAGCCCAGCTGAGAATTGGTAACCTCATAGTCTTGGAGCTGTGGACATGAGCTGCTCTTTTTACTTTTATATTTATTTGAAGTTTTCCAAAATGGATTAAAAAATCAAAGCCCAGAAAAATCCTTTTATTCTTTTTTAAAAAAATCTTTAAAATATGAAATAGAGAACATATATTCAAAGCACATTAGCTACTTGGGATGTGAAACCATGACCACTGAAATTTTAGATTACCAGAATGAATATTAATGCTAGAATCCTAGAGTTAAGGTTTTGTGTTAAAATTAAATGAAAAAAAAAATAAGTGTGTTAGAACCTGGAAGATGAAAGAACTATCCTGGTTAGGTAAGCCCTGCCTAAGTGATTCTCTTATAACAGCAGAGTTGCTTATTTTTTTCTTCTCAAATATTGAAGAGAATGAAGGTCAGAGACTCAGCTAGGAAGACGAGGATAGAGAAAATACGCTACTGAATAAAAAGCAGTCACAGGTTGCCTTCTGGAAGGACATCATGCCTATGCTCTGAAGTAGATGGTGACTGAATGTGGAAGCCACTTATCTTCAAGTGGCTGCTTTTTTTATAGTTTGATTAAAAAAAATTCTTACTTCATACCATCTAGGTTATACCGTCAGTTGGTATAATCTAGAAAGTAAAGCTAAATAGTCTCAGGCTCCTGGGCTAGACGGAGTTAATACTCCTCAAGCCCACTGCTGCCGCTTCCTACCTAACAGCTGGGTTATCTCTGCACCTCCCCTCACCTGTCTCAATAGTTCTTTCATTTCCTGATGTAAAACCCATTGTCTCATGCTGTTCATACCGGTTGGACTGCTTTTTCTTTTTCATACAAACATTAAGAACTAATTTTGGGGTTTTATTTTTCTTTTGAGACTAGATCTCTCTATAACATGGGTACCCTGGAACTCACTATGTAGACTGGACTTGCCTTGAATTCACAGAGATCTGCCTGCATCTGCCTCCCAAGTGCTGGGATTAAAGACATGAGCCACTATACCCAGCTTAAGATTCTTTATAAACTAAAACTAACTTTAAATTTGGGGATAGCTGTCTACATCTGCTGTTCTAAAAATTCTGACATCCTCTTCTGGACTTCGGGAGCACCAGACACATACAGGGTACACTTAGAATTTCAAATATTCAAATATTCAATGAATATTTGAAACTCTTCCCCCATCATTTACTGTTTCTATTTAAATAATTCTAATAATTTGACTTAATAGTAAAAAGTAATGTGGTTTTTTAGAAACATGACTAATGGTTTTAGACACTATACAGACATAAATTACATAACCCTTAAATGTATACTATTTTAAAATGACAAGTTTTACCTAATTTCCATTTAGTTTAATGAAGAAAGAAATATAAATGTACATGCGAATTAACCATAAATAACAGGACATATATCCCTCTGTGCGGAAAAAGTATATATATAACAAGAAGTTATTAAAGTGTTAAGCTCTGCAGTTCCTGTAGAGTCTGAGGGTTAAACCATGACACTACATGCAACTTTGTACTTTAAAATAAAAATGTTTCAAGGTTTTCATCCATTTCCATCTTTAATATACTTTGCTTCTGTTATTTATTTCCAATTTACAGTTGTCTCAGTGTACTTAGAAAGTATATATGACACTTTTCTTGCTTTTAGTAAAAGCCTTGATAGATCAAGAAGTGAAGAATGGCATTCCTTCTAACAGAATTATTTTGGGAGGATTTTCTCAGGTAAGTCAGATTATCATATCCATACCATCAGCATAGTTATCGACAGGTATGTAACTTCAGTTCCATTTGTTTGGAAGAGTCCCTTTTTTGAAAATGTTACAGAATCCTAGTTAACTGGAATTATGCTCATTAACTGAATTAAGTTGGATTGGACTGGAAATTATTTCTGCACCATACATTTTTATTTCTTCATTTCTTCATTTATTATTGCCTTTCCTAGTTTTTTTTTTTTTTATAATATTTGCCTTTATCTTTTAGAGTGCCTTCAAAATTGATTCATTAAATAATTGATTGGAACCTAGAATGTACTTGGGGGTTTTTGTTGTTGTTGGTTTTGTTTTGTTTTGTTTTGTGGTTTTTAGTGTTGAGACTGGGTTTTACTGTGTAGCCCTGGCTATAATGTACTTTCTTAAAGTAAGCATAGTACACTGCAGTTAGGCTTCTGTTAGTGAAAGAACTGTAAGAGAACAGGTATAAGTGCTTAGGTTTCTAAGGTAGAGCTGAGATGAAAGTCTGGTCTCTTTTTCCAGCTTGATCTTTTCTCCATGTCCAGCTTCTTTATGGTGACCTTACATTCTTCCTGATTTGTTTTGTGGGGCTAGTTCTTGCCATAGGTGCTCGTTCAAGCTGAACAAGAAGCTGTGCATCCACACCTTGAACTTAGATTTTTATTCACCAGTTTTCATGCAGTCTGCTTTCAGAATGCTCTAGTTTCTAATCTCCTCAATCTTTGACATTGCTATGAGAAATGTCAAAATTTTGGAATCAGTTGTGACAATAAAAGTCAATAGTATGTAATAATATATGGTAATGTGGTTAATATATTAAAAAGGTGTTATTGATGGAGGCTGAACACATAATCAGCAGTTAAGAGCACTTGATCTTCTAGAGAACCCAGGTTCAGTTCCCAGCACCTACAGCAGCTCACAACTGTCTATAACTCCAGCTCTAAGGGATCTGACACCCTCTCACAGACATACACATAGGCAAAACACCAATGCATAACACATGAAAGTAAATTGTTTTAAAAAAATAATAAAAAGGTGTTATTGATATATGGTCTTTGTCTAGCTAATACAATATACATCCCCACACATGCATAAGGTCAAAAATACTTTAAATACTTTAAATAAATTAAATAAATTAAAATATAATGTACACATAATTATTATGTTATTTGATACTGATTACAGCCTAGAGAAATGAATTCCTAGGACTGGGGAGATGGCTCAGGCAGTAAAGTGCTTTCTGTACAAGCACAAGTATACCGAGCCGTTCTGCTGTTCTGGTCCGAGGGTTAGGGGGCAAGAGAGAGAGTGGGGACAGGGACGCAAAGAATGGAGGCAAGACGAAGTCTGGTCAAAGACGAAGTCTGCCTGCTGGAGACGGAGTCTGAGTCTGCCTGCTCTCTGTCGAGTCTGTCTAGTCGAAGTCTGTCTGGAGACGAAGTTTGTCTGCTCTGAGTAGTCTGTCTGTTCTCTGCCTCTGACTCTCCGTCGAGTCTGTCTAGCTCTGAGTCTGGGTCTGCCCTGGCCTCTCCTTCTCCTGAGTCAATCAAGTACTGGGATTAAAGGCGTGTGCTACCACTGCTGACCTTGACTGAAAGGACGAAGATAATTATCAGTGTGTTCAGCTGTTGTAAACAAGTCTCTTGTCAGGGCATATGGCTCAAGATGGCTGCAAAGATAATAGCCGCTTTCGGCTCAGAGTTGGCTTCCAACACACAAGGTGCCAAGTTTGTATCCTCGGAACCTGTGTAAAAATGTGAGTGTGATGGCAAATCTCCATAGCCCTAGTCCTAGAGAAGTGGTAACAGACTTTCCTCTGAGCTACCTGGTCCTTGAGTAGTTCCAGGTTCAGATAGATGAGACCATGCCTCAGAAAGTAAGATGGAAAACAGTTGTGGAAGATACCTGACTTCAACCTCTGACCATCACACTAACACTCTATACACCTAAGGAAACTAGTTCTGAAAACCTTCAGCAAGAAGTCAGTTGTAAGTCTGTGTCGTCATTATATCAAGAAAACAGAAGATAAAACTACAAATCAGGAAATAGGTGCTGTTTAGAATGCAATCCGGACTTCCTATCTTCATTTTTTTCTTTGTTTATTTGCCTTTCTACCAACCACTGGCTTATAAGCTTTTACAGTTCTGGAGTTTACATGTTGCATTTCGAGCTATATAGAGGCGGCCCAAAGGTAACTGAATCCTAATTCCACAGTCCTGAGAAAGAACATCACCGCTGAATCAGAATCTCCCATATCCCCATGTGGTACAGCAAACTGGGGGCCTGGTCAGAGTGGTGGCATCTAGACAGATGACAGAAATATAGTTCCCAACACAGAGTGTGGCAAGCTGTAAGGGTGAATCCTAAGGTGTCTGGTACACCCCCATCTGTATTGTTTTAAATTCCTGTTTCAGAAAAATAATTTAAAATCTAATTTTGAGTTTATATCTAACACTTTCATGAAAAGAGGAAAATGAAAACTATAAATTCAGACTACTCTTTAGCCAATCTGTATGTGAAAATCTGTATTGGTATGTTTTCTTGGAGGTAGAGGTCCATACATTCTGAATATATATTTTCATTCTTTACCTGGTTTGATTTAACATTGCTCATACAGTATCTTTTCTTATGGACATTACTAGTAAGAATTCTCTAACATGCTCTTGGCAGAACTGCTCCGTTAACTCCCTGCTTCTGTTCCAGGGAGGCGCCTTATCTTTATACACTGCTCTCACCACACAGCAGAAACTGGCTGGTGTCACTGCACTCAGTTGCTGGCTTCCACTTCGGGCTTCGTTTTCACAGGTAGCCTGCATGGTGTGCATAAACAAGATTACAGAGCTAGGAGTTAGCAGATGTTTAGGAGCAAGTCATCTTTTTTATTTTAATTTTACACACACACACACACACACACACACACACACACACACACAGAGGTACATATATAAAGTTTTAGGATTATAGAAAATTGACTGCCGGGAAGTGGTGGCGCATGCCTTTAATCCCAGCACTTGGGAGGCAGAGGCAGGTGGATTTCTGAGTTCGAGGCCAGCCTGGTCTACAGAGTGAGTTCCAGGACAGCCGGGGCTACGTAGAGAAACCCTGTCTAGAAAAAAAAAAAAGAGAGAATTGAGTGAGAAATAGAGTTGTCAAATTCCTTGTTTGCACCCCTCACACAGCCATCCCACACTACAGTGGTACCTTTCTTCAGTTGGAGAGCCAACTCAGTTCATGGCTTACATTAGGCATCTTATTTTTAAGATATTTCTTTAGGCCTTTGTGATGTATTAACTACACTTGATCTGTATGTCCTTTCTGTGATTTATAGAGTACAATATGCTTATCTTAAATTTAATCATTTGATACATTCTAAGATACATATTCACATATATTTTAATTTATATTTTAAATATTTATATAGTCATTTGACAGCAGAATTTTACTTTTATTTGTCACTGCTGAAGATTAACCCCAGAGCCTTGAGCATTGTTAGGTACATCACTGCTGGGTTCAAATTGCCATTGTTTGCTCTTGAGACAGTGTGTAGACCAGGCTGACCTTAAGTCTATGACCTCTTAGCCACAGCCTCCCAAGTGCTGGGATTGTAGGTGTACTAATGTGTGTCACACTCTACATTCATTTCTAACCTAGAGTTTAGTCTTTTTGCCGTGTAGTAACTTTTCAGTGTGCTATACATAATAGATTGTTAACTTTCTTATTTAACTCAAAGTTCAGGAGAGCCTTACCTGTGTGCTAATAGTTATTGATTACTGTTCATGTCAAAATTCTGAACATAAAAGATGAATAAAATGCAATTGGCTTAAAGAAACTGATTCATTGGAAAACATGTATTATAATACATGCAACATAATCATGTATGTCATAGAAGTTTAAGATGTTGGGGGAACATAATGATAGAGGGAGGACTTTACTTGGCCAACATATTCAACTGAATTATGAGTAATAGCACATGTACACATATCTATAGTTTTTAAGAGTCTGGTACAGTGTTTCATGTACTTGATACATAACACTGCTTTTGTGTTTGTTTTGCAGGGGCCTATCAATAGTGCTAATCGGGATATTTCTGTTCTCCAGTGCCATGGAGATTGTGACCCTTTAGTTCCTCTAATGTTTGGTTCTCTTACTGTTGAAAGACTAAAAGCATTGGTAAATCCAGCCAATGTAACCTTCAAAATCTATGAGGGCATGATGCACAGCTCATGCCAGCAGGTAGGTGTCTCTGGAAGCAGTGAGTAGAGTCACTATTTTAATTTCTTCCATGTTAATTTCCAAGATAAATAACACTTGGATGTTGGTGATTTAAAGGAGTTAATGAATTCACAATTGAATCAACTTAACAAAATTTTTAATATCTTAAATTTTAAAAATCTGATCATCTCTTACAAATAAGCATTCTACATAATCCAATGGCTGTTTATTTATTTATTTATTTTAAAAATTTTGGCTTTTGGAGACAGACTTTTTGAGACAGGTTTTTCCATATAGCCTTGGCTGTCCTGGAACTCACTTTGTAGACAGCCTAGGTCCACCTGCCCCAACCTCCAAAGTGCAGGGATCAAAGGTGTGAGCCACCACACCTAGTCCTCCAAAAGACAATTTATATATACTTTCTTAATGAGCCACCACACCTAGCCCTCCAAAAGACAATTTATATATAATTTCTTATTTAGTAAAATTTAAGTTATACTTATTAAAGTTTAATAAAAGAACATATATAACCAAATAACTACTGACAGAACAGATTGGGGTATATATTATTGAATTTGTAGTTTGTTTTGTTTTTAGATTATCCTAAAAAACATGAAAAAAATGAAAATTTATCTTAGAAGGCACTGAGACCATGATGTGACATAGCTAGAATATGAAGGTAAGATGTAGATACCAAGTATATATACAGGTAAAGGGACTAAGTGGCTGGCAGGAAAAGCAAACTGTCTGGTTTGGCTGGAGTTTTAGGCAAATCTGTATGTCAGGCTAGAGGTATAACTCACTTGGTAGAGTGGTACCTGATAGGGACAAAGGGCTCCATCCTTTGCACTTCCTATGGTATTGTCTTAGTTAGGGTTTACTGCTGTGAGCAGACACCATGACCAAGGCAACTCTTATAAGGACAACATTTAATTGGGGCTGTCTTACAGGTTCAGAGATTCAGTGCACTATTATCAAGGCAGGAATGTGGCAGCATCCAGTCAGGCATGGTACAGCAGGAAGAGCCGAGAGTTCTACATCTTCATCTGAAGGCAAACAGAAGACTAGACTAGCTTCTAGGCAGCTAAGACGAGGGCCTTAAAGTGCACACCCACAAGGAAATCCTTTCTCTAACAAGACCACACCTCCTAATAGTGCCACTCCCTGGGCTAAGCATATTCAAACCACTTCAGATGTACACACAGCATGATGGCACAGCTGTAATCTCAACACTTGAAAGGTGGAAGCAGGTCAGAAGTTCAAAATTATCCTGGCCAGCCTCAGGGGGCAGGAGTAGGACAGAAAAAGGAGAGAGATTTCAGGATAGATCATAAAGGGAGTAAGGACTCTCTTGTAGAAATATGTGTGGTGTTCGGAGGAAGGACATGTAATCTAGGTAGCAGGAAGCTATTTTTTATTGAAGTGAGATGTGGTCTAGATTATGAACCAGTTGAGGCAGAATCTAGTAGTATATTCAGTTTAATTCTATGGATAGAACAGTAGGTATCAAAGGGACTAAGGATTTATAGCTCACTTGACTAACAAATATGCCACCATAAAGTAGGTATAAGGTAGAGTTCACTGTAACGAGGAGGTGAGGTTGAAGTTAAGAAAAGGAAATGAGGACATAGAAATAGTATATATAGACCTCTTTTTATAAGTTTTATTGAGGGGGAAGGACTGTGGGAAGGAGTAACCAGGAAGGGGCAGTGAGTGGGATGTAAAGTGAATATGTAATAAATAAAATAAAATAAAATAAAAATAACTTCAAAGCATTTAACTTAAAAGTTTTGTTGAGATAGGGTTACACACTTCTGCAATCCCAGCACTTAGGAGGCTGGGACACAAAGACCTTGCTTTTAAGACCAGCTTGTACTGGTCTTAATTCTGGACCACCTTAGCAAAGACCCTATCTCAGAGAAGATAACAAATTTTAAATAGGGAGAACAATTGAGAGTCTTTTTTTTTTCTTTTTTAATGAAATGGGAAAAAGGCATCTGTGAGTAGGAAGTGATAGAGATATTTGATCAAGGGATATCTTAGATCATATATCATCTAGGACCATAGCTGGATTCTGCTACCTTAAAAGAGGAGAACATTTTCAGTCGAGATAGAAAAGGATTGGATAAGTATTATCAGGAGATGTCAAGATGGGGAGTAGGGTTCTTTGGAGCTTACATTGCATGCTTTTTGTCTTCATGATGAAGTAGAAGACACAGTTACTTAGATGAGAAAGACCTGGATGGGTTTAGGGTTTTTGTAATGCCCCAGAATAAAATTTGATTGATGGCTAATCTCTGGGGTATAGTCCACAGTTGTACAACCATTAAGTAAGGTTAAATCATTTGCTTTAGGGACAAAGGAAGTAGATAATAATATGACGTACCCCAAAAGGCCAATGTGCCTTGGATCCTACAGAGCCCTCCATCCCCATCCCCACTGTGAAAGGTACTGTTGAATACAGAAGAGTAGGGAGGCTCAGGAATGACTGAAAATCCTGAGCATCTTGAGTACCATGCACATAAATGAGCGCTTATGCTGGCTTTTGAGGACTCTGGACAGAATGAGCCAGAGTGGTAGGATAAGGTTGGAATATTACAAGAAACTATTAGGTAGGGTTTTAGAGTGTTGTAAAGTAGATCACTTTCATATGGTGGCTCTTCTCAGTGATGCAAATCCAAGGTTGGAAGTTCACTGCATGGCTGTTGTTGGCCAGTGAAGGCTAGAGACTTAGGAAAGGAGAAAAATGGATTAAGACCTGGGAGCCTTCCAGGAGAAAGCTACCTTCATCTTTCCCAAGGTCTGCTGTACATGCTTTCTTTCAAATGTGTACCTGTATGTAATTTTTCATGGAAGGCACACATGCAAAAAAGATTAGATATGAATCATTTCATTTTAATGAGGAAATGGGAAAGCAAAGCTTTTTTGCTGGTGTTCAGTTGTCAGGGAGTAGACATTACCAAAAGTTTTCTGTATAGATAGTATCATTCTGAACTTCCTGTCTCCCCAGTGTTTTATTTACACATCAGAAAACACAGACTTTAGGCCGGGCGGTGGTGGCACACGCCTTTAATCCCAGCACTTGGGAGGCAGAGGCAGGCGGATTTCTGAGTTCGAGGCCAGCCTGGTCTACAGAGTGAGCTCCAGGACAGCCAGGACTACATAAAAAAAAACCTGTCTCAAAAAAAAAATCAAAAAAAAAAAAAAAAACACAGACTTTGCACAGAACTAGATCATATGGGAGCTTTCATTTTGGTGTACAATAATAATCCTAAGAAATGTTCTGACATTTCTGTTGGTGCCTCACCCTTCTTATATTTCCTTTTACTGTAGTAGTAAAACATCCTCACCTGCATGGATTTTATTAGTGGCATTCTTAGAAATGTAATTTCTGGCTTATGTAGGTGTTTATTAAATCATTTTTTCCAAACAGGAAATGATGGATGTCAAGCACTTCATTGATAAGCTCCTACCTCCAATTGATTGACATCACTAAGAGGCCTTGAGTTGAAGCTCACCAGCATCACAGTAGTGATCCCATGACTGATCATAAAACTTCTAATGTTTGCAGTGTTAAAAATGTTTTGCAAATACATACCAATGATACAGACTAAATGATGCCTCCCTCATGGGAAATGTATGATCCTTTTAAGTTTCTATGCATATATTTGTATTATACCATTCAGAATATACTAGTATTACAGTAGGTAAGTGAAGCAACTAGCTTCTTTGTCTCAAATTAATCAGCAAAATAAGATAACACAAGCAGAGTTTTATTATAGCATTTGAAAATTACTAGTCTGAAAATGTGTTCAGGTCTAAACAAGCTGTTAAGATGTAAGTGACTGCTGGGCGGTGGTGGCGCACGCCTTTAATCCCAGCACTTGGGAGGCAGAGGCAGGTGGATTTCTGAGTTCAAGGCCAGCCTGGTCTACAGAGTGAGTTCCAGGATAGCCAGGGGTACAAGAGAAACCCTGTCTTGAAAAACCTAAAGAAAAAAAAAAAAGATGTAAGTGACTTCTCAATTCTGTGAGTTAAACTATAGTTTTACTCCACGATTGTTCAGTAACCATGCAGTATCTGTATTTGTATGTTTATATTCATACATACGTGACTGTAATACCTAAGAAAAGTAACTAATCAGATGGTATTAAATTATTCCTAGTAATAGGGGTTATGCTTTTATGTGTCAAAAAGTAATACTGCTCTCTTCAATTAATGGCCCTTCTACTAGGGAACCAGGCTTTTTTCCCCTTCTGTGTAATTTTTCTCCTCTCAAGGAAAAAAAGTAGTTTCTTTGTTTTTTGATTTTCCATAGAAAACTAATAATGCCTCTCTTTCATTAAAAAAAAAAAATTTGTCACTATATATTATTTGGCATTTTTACACAGACATACAGTATTTCTGATCTAGGTAATGTGAAAGGAAACCAAACATTACTTAAGGTTACATATTTCAAATAACTGCACCTTAGTCGAACTTTAGGCTATAGAGTTATCAGAATCTTCAGTCCTGGTGATAATTCTGTGGTTTTATTTTTCTGTAAAAAACTTAAAGGGTAAATAATATGTTGACATATTTAGACATACTTGTGACTGGTATTAAAATATAATTTCTTAAACATCTTATAGCGGAGTTTAAGTTTACATTTTCTTTACATGTTATCCTTAAAACCAAATACTGTTCAAGATGAGCAATCAGACTTTTATTTTTATCTGGGTAGTATACAAATTTGAAATTTTCATCTTAAGTAAAGGAGCTTTTGATAATCAGTCTCCTGTTCACACATTAAAATAACAATCATTTGAATATAAATAATAAACATGTTCAAAATACTGGTGAAAGTTATTTAATTTATGGGTAATAAGAATTGGTTAGAACATATTAAAACCCATATTTATAACTGTTACCACATTGTTGAATATGTTGCAAAAATTATTGCTATTTCTGAACGGTTGCTTTTCCTGCTGTTTTCCAACCAACAAAAAAGAAGTACCTTTATAACTGACGCTAACTGATACAGAGATCATTTTGAAATGTCCTAGATAGAATGTTAACAATGAAGCTGAATGTTAATGTCTGGATTTAAAACAATTTCAAACAATCATTTACTAATTTGCTTTACTTTGAAGAACATAAATTTACTTCAGTTATTCTATCTGGAATGATTTAATTGGGATAAGAAATATTACGTTGAATTTGTATGCTGTAATGTGGGAAAATGTCATGTTTTTCACAGTTTCTATTAATGTGAAATAAAATTTAATTTTGGCTTTATCGATTGTTTTATGTAGTACTGTTTCTTTCTTGTTTTTTTTTTTAAAGATTTATTTATTTTATGTATGTGAGTACACTGTAGCTGTTTCATACACACCAGAAGAGGGCACCGGATCTCATTACAGATGGTTGTGAGCCACCATGTGGTTGCTGAGAATTGAACTCAGGACCTTTGGAAGAGCAGTCAGTGCTCTTAACCTCTGAGCCATCTCTCCAGCTCCCCGTTCCCGAATTCTTCTTTTTAAGATAGGATCTGCCAGGCAGTGGTTGCGCACTTGTAAGCCTTTAATCCCAGCACTTGGGAGGCAGAGGCAGGTGGATTTCTGAGTTCGAGGCCAGCCTGGTCTACAGAGTGAGTTCCAGGACAGCCAGGGCTACACAGAGAAACCCTGTTTCGAAAAACAAACAAACAAAAAAGATAGGCTCTTACTTACATACCCCTGCTGACCTGGAAATTCCCTAAATTATCTCTTCTAAGTTGCTTTTAGTCATGGTGATGTATCACAGCAACAGAAAAGTGCTGGCCCACAACTCACAGATTCACCTGCCTTTGCCTCCCAAGTGCTGATAATATTATAGATATATGTTCCCATGGCCTGATGGGTTTTCAAGTTTATTATTCTTTTGAGGCAAAGTCTCCCTTATAGCCAGCACAGCCTTGCCTTGAAAGTCTCAATCCTCCTGCCTCTGCCTCCCTAGTCTTAAAATAATAGGACCAGCACAGCCAGCGTCAAGTAGTAACATTTGGGCTTCCTTTGGAATGATCCTCTATGTTGAAAGAAGAACATAAAGATACAATCATGAGGAAATGCATTGGGAGAGAAATTTTAATGTGATATGATTAGCTTGAATGGACCTAACCATGAGAAAGAAAAGTATTTTATTTTAATCTGCTAAAAATTCATACCCTATTTAAAAACTCTTAGCCTATTGAGAAACTTTATTGGGTGTTTTCATCTTTTAATGTAGTTATCACAGGAATTTTAAATAACTACCATATGTCAATTATCTAAATATTTTTTCTCTTACATATTTTATTGGGTTCTAAGTTGTACCACCAGTACAGGGGTCTATTCTTTTGTGTTAAAAAGTGTTTCTGGTTTTGAATACTTGAAGTTGACAGCTCACCTTTTTGTGATTCTGCCTGTTTGATTTTAATATAGTCCTAGTGGTAGGGGAGTTTGTGATGGTTTGAATAAGAACTGACCCCACAGGCTCCATACCTAGGTGGTGGTGCTCTCTGGAGGGTTATGTGGAGGGCAGGCTAGTTGGAAGAAGCACATCACTGTGGTCATGCTGTGAGAGTTTAAAGCCTTGTCCCACTCCCAGTTTGCTTTCTCTGCTTCAAGCTTGTGGTTGAGTTGTGATCTCTCAGCTTCCCACTCCTGTTACCACGCCCACTGATTGCTACAAATGCCTTCTCAGCAAGATGGACTCTTTTTTTGTTTGTTTGTTTTGTTTTGTTTTGTTTGTTTGAGACAAAGTCTCTTTATATAACTTGGCTGTCCTGAAACTCACTACACAGACCAGGCTACCTTCAAACTCCCAGAGATTAGCCTACCTCTGCCTTCCAAGTGCTGGGAGTACAGATGTACGCCCCTATGCTTTGATAGACTCTTAACCCTCTAGAGTAGTAAGCCAAAGTACCCCACTTTTTTTTCTATACATTGATTTTGGTTACTGTTATATCACAACAACAACAACAACAAACAACTAATGCAGAGATATGTAACAAAAATACTGTCATTTCTAATATTCAGTCTTGCAGATTTACCCTGCAAAGCAGCACCACATTTCCTGTGGTTTTATTTTTGAGTCAGGTTAGAGTCTTGTAATATACTTCTGGCTGTCCTGGAACTCACAGCAGTCCTTCTGCCTCAGCTTCCACAATACTTATAGGTCTCCCAGAGCTTAAGGAAGTTAATGAAACAGCTCCTGTAGCACATTTAACTTAGGGCTCAGAAGAGGAAAGATGTGGAAATGTCTACCACTACAAAACCATGATCCTCTAGAGGTTTCACACAAGGTGAACAGAAAAGTGACCTCGCTTTCAACAAAAAAATAAAGGACACTTGTCTCTTTGGGCCTATACACTGAATTGTAAAAGGGGAGAAATTCTCCTGAAATTCTTTAATCAGAAATTTGTTTTCATATGCATGTTGGTCTTAAATTTATAATATGTATTATAAATCAAACATAGTATGTGTGTAATATAAATATTCTATATATGGATTGGCAATGCATAAACATAAATTTAAATCAAGCCCCTCCTTGGGTCGCCCTGCCATTCTGTGGAGAGTTCCATATGTTTAACCCTATTTGAAGTGAGTGCCCTCAAACCATACAGCACCAGCCATGAAGGAGTGCCTATGACGAAAGAGTAGATGGTGATTAGATACCCAAGAACTGAAGAAAGAGTCTGGGGATAGTGTATGAGAATATTAAAGACAGCAGGGAGAAACAGCATTAAAATGCAGATTTGGACTCTTTCTTACTCTCTTGCCTCTAGCTTCTCTCTGTCCCCTCGCCCTTCTCCCTTTCCCTTCCCCCTTTTTCCACGTGGTCATGGCCGGGCCTCCACTTCTCTCCTCTTTCTCCACCATATTCTCCCGTTTCTCTCCCCATCTTTGCCCTCTGCCCTGAATAAACCCCCTCCCTTTTGGAAAAAAAAAATGCAGATTTTGGGGCACTGAGGAGGTGGTGAAAATCAGCCACTCCAATGAAAGATCTCAATGGAGAAGTAGCAAAAACACCTGAAAGACTCAAATGTCACAAGTGGGCCAGATAAACAGAATGTCATACAATGAACTGAAGAACAAAAGTGTTTTTTCAGAAAAGAATGCAGGCATTGTCTTAGTTTGGAACCAATTCAGGGTATACTCAAACAGTGATATTTAAAATATGCACAATGTGTGGTATAGAGGCAGCTCAGTTAAGAGGAATTGATACTCCAGGAGACCCAAGTTCAATTTCCAGGACCCCATGTCTAGCAGGTCACAATTCCTTGTAAGTCCAGCTTCTGGGGATCCACCACCTTCTACTGGCTTCACACACTTGCACATTTTAGTTCAGACACAAACACAAATATATCTGTGTAGTATGTACAAAGAAATGAGAGTGGAGACGATGGGAGTGGGAGAAAGGACATCTGCCCTTGGTATACAGTGATTATTAAACCAGATATTTTTAGTGTTTGGTTTACCACTTTAGAGATTATATACTAGTAGTTAGTTTGTAGGAATAAAAAATAATCATTCACAGTTGCCTACAAATGAATAAATTTAAATCACAGAATTTGGAGGCCAAAAAATTCTACAAAGTAACAGCAAAAGACATGAAAATCTAATATATGGTGTTTGTGGATCAGGCTGTGGATGGAATGAAGTTCATTTATTAAAATTCAACTCTTTTGGTATTATATTAAGAGAGTTGTTGTCATAGTTTCCTGTTACTATAATAGACTGCTTTGACTATTTCAGGTCACAGTTCTAAGTTACAGTCCACTGTAGTGTGGAAGACACAACAGACATTTAAAGGTCACATTGCATTCAGTGCTCAGTACCTTATTCTACTATATGTAGTTCAAAATCCCCTGCCTGGGGAGTAGTACTGGTGTTTTGCCCAGAGGTTAGTCTGGCTGGTTATTCTAATTTCGGTCAGGTTAACAACTATCACAAAAGCAGAAACAATGTATGATGTTTGGAGGGAGGACTTTTGTGACATGCTCAGGATTAACCATTAAGGTGAAAACCATATGTTGGAATCACAGTGGCTTTATAAGAGGTTAAAACTAGCCACACATTCCCCCTACCTATGATATACAATGTCCTGTACCACTTTGGTAATCCCAACCAGGGAAGGTGTCACCACATGGACCTCTGCTGTTTTAATGTTATCCCATATTATATTATCAAAAAAATTGATTAGCAAAAATTGGAAAATTTTGCACAATAATATCTTCATTCTTCCACATTGATACACAGGTTTAATGGAATTCCTAAACAGTTCCAATGTGTTGTTATACACAGGTATTTTGAAGTTTATGTGGAAAGACAATAGTACTTAGACTGGCTGAAACAATGCTGTAAAAGTAAAGTGTGGTGTTTTAGACATTATTAAATAGTGCCAGAAATTCATATTGACAGAGATAAGCATTCAGATGAACAGGACAAAATAATGTTGACAGTCTTACAAAAGCACACGAGGATGAGCAAATGGATAACCATTGACAGAGCATTTCCCTTTAAACCTTAACCTCAGACAAAAGTTAACAACTTGGTTCTTTCAACAAGCCTACCCAGATGGCACACATTTAATCCAGAGAGCTGGATGGATTTCTGTGAGTTCAAGGCCAGGCCAGAGCTACATAGTAAGACCCTGTCTCCAAAAACAAAGAAATGTTTGCAGACAATTGATAACTAATCATATAAATTATGTAAGTGGATCTTTAAACATTAAAAAAATCTAATTTTTAAAAACATGTTACTGAGGGAGCTATTAAATGAATAAGAAAATGATTGTTACTACAAACCTAAAGGAATTGTAAGTTAAAACCACAGTAAGACTGGCATACCTATTAGATCATCTAGGATAAAATGATAGTAATGGCACTAGCGACATTGCTCAATAGTTAAAGCATTTGCTGCAAGTCTGATGACGTCAGTTCAATTCCTGGCACCACATGCTGGAAGGGAAGAACCAAATGTTAAAAAAAAAAATTGTTGCCGGATGGTGGTGGCGCATGCCTTTATTTCCCAGCACTTGGGAGGCAGAGGCAGGCGGATTTCTGAGTTCGAGGCCAGCCTGGTCTACAGAGCGAGTTCCAGGACAGCCTGGGCTATACAGAGAAACCCTGTCTCGAAAAACTAAAAAAAAAAAAAAAAAAAAAAAAAAAAAAAAAAAAAAAAAAAAAAA